AAAAAACTGGGTCCCTAACTATTGAACACAATGCCCCCCTCAAAAAAACCAGGCACTCAGAATGATGGAAGACAGTTTTGGGGGGAAGGGGCAGAGAGGTTGAGTGAGTCCTGGAGGACAAAATGGAGTGGGCTGGGTGGCACTTTGAGAGGCTTGAAGTGTCATGGTGAGGCTCCCGCATGGCCACCCCCTTGGGCTCAGCACTTCGGCTCCCTGGCAGATCACAGCACCGGCTCCAGCCTCAGCACGTACCCCTCTGCTTCTGGCTTGGGATGGTTCCCTGTTCCAGGTGTCCACAGACGCTATGTCCTGTGCTGGGCACTCACCTGATGTTCAGTGAGGACACGCTAGTGGGGTGGGTAGGAAAGCTACTGATCCCTAGTGATATGTCCCCTCATCACACACCTGGCCACATCTCTTCTGGGGACAAGGAATGGCTCTGAAACAGGAGTTCCTATGAACCCCGGCCCAGGTGAGGCCTGGGGGCACAGCCCAGCCTGGACAAGCCCAGGTGAGACCTGGGCCTGGCCAGGGCGGGGGGTGCGATGAGAGTTGAGAGACTGCTGCTTCCTTCCAAGCCTTCCCCAAGAATGAACTTGAGACCAGACACTCGGGAGTTGTTKTTTTTTTTTTTAACAAAACAATATTTTATTGACACATCCACAATGTTCTGTATAAATATAAAGTGCTAAGTTTCCAACCCCCGCCCACAGGGCTGGGAGGAAGTGGGGGAGGGAGCCTTAAATGTCAGTTGAACACAAATAATTTTCCAGCACCAACATGGGYGGGCAAGAAACGCTCACGTATGCGTAAGCAAGAGGTCACAGGTCCGGAACACGACACACGCCTCACTTTCCAAGTTCCTAGCTCCCCCAGGAGCTTGGCTCGGGCTCCAGGACCCAGAGTGGACACCCCTAGACAGGGCTCCCTGTTGTCACAGCTTGTTCCTTAGGGCTCTCGGGCTGCCAAGGGTTTCAACATGGTGAAGGGACCAGAGAGTCCATGAATGTAGAGTCCAGTCATTTCTACCACAGGAGTGGAGGGGACAGCAGATGTGCCTCTGCTCTGTCCCCTCCTAAGGGCCAGCCCTTGAACTCCCAGCAGAAGAGCACCAGGTGGGAAGGCCAGTCCCCCAGGGGGTGCAACAGGCCTCCAAAGACGAGGGGGATGCTCTAGGCCATCGGGAACCCACCTGTCCCCACTMGGCTCCTCCTAGAAATTGTGAGGGCCAACGTGGTAGGGAGGCAGGCAGAGGGTCCCTGCCTCAGTGACACAGCACCTGAGTCTCAAATTGCAGCAACTGCCCCATGAAACTGAAGTTGGGGGAGATGACTCCGCGGCGTTGCTTAACAAAGTCGAAGGCCTCATCCAGCCGCACTCGGCGGCTCTGTATCAGGTACGCCAGGCAGATGGTGGCAGAGCGGGAAATGCCCGCCTGGCAGTGGACCAGCACCCGGCCTCCGCTGTTCTTCACCAGGTCTGCAAAGGAGATGGGGAAGGGAGTCAGCTCGGAAGATGCCCAGGCGAGAAGGCGGCGCCCTCAATCTCCTCCCCTGAGGTTCCTCTTACCGATGAAGCCTATGGCCTCCTGGAACCAGGCACTGATGTCCACCATCTGGTTGTCCTCCACCGGGATGCTCTTGTAGAGGAAAAGGCCCTCAAAGTGGTTGGGGCAGCTAGCAGAGACGTTGAGGACGGCTGTGATGCCACAGGCCTGCAGCCCTTGTAGGTCAGAGGAGTGGCTGCAGCTGCCCAGGTACAGGTAGGGCAAGATCTCCACCGGTCCACCCTGGAGGAGAGAGGGGGTGGTGAGACCTCCTCGGCCTTAGGGGACAGTGTGAGCCCGACAGGGCAGACACGGACTAGCCCCAGACAAGAGGAGCCCTTGGCCAGACACTGACCAGAGACACATGTCAGGAATGTGAGAAGGACACAAGGGGACACCATACAGATACACACTCACAAATTCGCCCACCCACCTCATTCCCCAAAGCACCCGTGAAAACATAACCCTTGCCCTTTGCATGCGGCCACACACACACACACACACACACACACACAAGCAGACTCCTCGCTCTACCCAGAGGCTAGCCAGGGGAGGGAGGACAGTGACAAGAAGCCCTGATCTCAGCTCACCTGGTCATAGATGGGAACCCTGAGGTCGGAGCTACTGGTTTCGGTGGCTGTGGGGGCCAGCGCCGGGGCAGGGGATTCAGAGCACAGATCGGGACAGCAGGACTGGAAGCTGTCGAAGCCTCCTGCAGGAAGAGCGCGGGCAGGTTAGCCAGGAGGGCMGGGCAGGGCTGGCCAGGGCCGGGCGCGGGCAGGCGGGCAGGCTCGGGTCTCACCTCGCAGGAAGCAGACGGCGGTGGCCCCGGCGCGGGTCTCGTGTAGCAGCGCCGAGAGCAGCAGGTGCGCGGGGCCATCGGGCCGGAGTTCTGCCACCGAGGCGCTGCCTTCGTCCAGCACCACCGCGCGCGCCAGTTCCCCGCGGGCCAGGCGCGCCAGCAGCGCACGATCCGGCAGCAGGCAGGCGAGGGCGGCAGCSGGCGGGCCGCGCGCGCGTCGCCGCAGCAGCGCGTTCCAGGGCACAGGCCGCGCGGCGCGCACGTGTCGCCGGCAGAAAGCTAGGAAGGGGCGGCAGTCGAGCAGCAGTGTGCGCTCGGCCTCCCGCGGCTCCCGCAGCAGCGCCCCCAGCGCCGCGCACTCCAGCTCCCGCGCCGCCTCCAGCCCCATGCCGAGCCGCTGCCCTTTGCCTCTGCCTCTCTCGCCTCTCGCTCGTCTTCCGGGCTCCGCGGCGCTCGCTCAGCCCGATCTATCGCCTCTGGGCACTGGCTGCCGCGCCCGGGCTTAAGTACTGGGGGGCCGGGCTCCCGGGTCACCAAACAAGGGCAGAGCAGGAAGGCGCCGGCGCCGCCCCCGCGGCCTCACGTGGGGCGCAGGCCGGGCGGCCTGGCTTCCCCTGCGCSGGCTGGGGAGGGGAGCCCCAGGGGAGGAAACCGGGGCCAGTTCCTAAGGCGGGGGTGTTCGCCGGAGTCTTGGGGTCCGAACGCGCCCCTCCCGGATCTTTGCACCCCAGCTCGGAAGATTGCTCCCGCCCTTTGACCGGCTTTAAGCCTTTCAGCCCTTGGGAACTCAGTTTCTCAGATGATGCCCTTCTGGCCTTTGGGGTTCCTTGGTCCCTGATGCCCTTCTGGCCATTGGGGTCCCTGGTCCCTGCTTCCTCTGCCTTTTCCTTTTCTTGGGGTTTTCTTCCTAGGAGTTTGTTAGAACAAAAATCTGCCGCAGATGATCCTACAAGGGAGAATGGGGCGCCCCTACTGGGAGACCTTAGGCAGGAGGGTCTTTCTCTCCCCTGCCCCTCTTACCCCCCACCCCAATTGCTTAGATGAGACCAATCTGCTTCCTGAGGCAGGTTGGTGGCCAGGCTAGCCAGAACATAGTCTCTTGACTGCAAACCCCTGGACTTTGGCATAGTGGGGGTGAGCTTGCTTTCAGAGGGGAAAGCAGGGGCCACTGGTGAGTTTCTAGTTATGAGTGAGGCAGAGCTTCTTCCCCTGGGGCCCAGGGRAACCCCCAGGGGCCCAGAGAGAAGCATTTCCCCATGTCACAGGCTGGCTCTGAAGGGGAACTCTGCTGACGCTGCTGGGCTCTCCCTGGGCCTTGCCTGGCGGGAATTTCAAGGGGAAGAAGGAGAACCACTGACAGAGCCTGCCTCCTCCACAGCCCCCAGCCCATCAGCATGACACCCTCTCCCCAGACGGCAGGGGCCTGGGACCTTTGGCAGGAACACTCCAGCAATCAGAATGCAGAACCCGGTGATCGCACCCCTTCTGCCCTCCCCCACCCCAACGTCAGCGGATGTGGTGAGGCCAGGTGTGAAGGAGGATCTGAGCCCTGGGCTGGGGGCAAGAAATGCTGGTGGGTGGCTGAACTCCTAGGCAGAGGAGTTCAGGTAGGTGGGGACAGTGTGGAGCTGGAGCTGATCCAACCAGCCACCAGCTGCGTGGGATTTTAGAGCCCAATCCCCAGGTGCCTTTTATAAGACCCTTGCAGTTCCCCTGCAGGCCCCCACCTCCCCATTTTTCTTGGAGGGCTACATCTAGGACCTGTGCGGGCCCCCAGTCCCCTACGGGATTCCTCACCATGGTGTGTTGATGTGTCCCTGTGTCGGAGCATAATTTATGTGCAGTTCCTATGTGTTTGAGATGGAGCTTGAAACGTGTATGTGCTGGGGGGCACCAGGCATGCGGGGGAGAGAAGCGGGGAGTCGCCAAGGATTCCTGGGCTACCCGCCCTCTCGCGCACAGCAAACCAGCCCTTCTCCCACAGGAGCTCCGAGGCTGTGGGCGATGCAGCCGAGGCCCCTGGCCCCGGCTGGGCCAATCTGGAGGCTGATGCAGCAGGGCCCACAGCAGAGCCAGGGAGTCTGGGCCACAGATGCCAGTGGCTGATAGGGGCACTTATCCTTGCCATCGGCCAGCCAAATGACTTAATGCCCGCTTCCAGGGCAAATTACAGAGCGTGCAGGGGGAGCGTCAGGTCCAGTCTTGCTGACCTATGGGGCCCGCGTCACCTGCCCTGCTGGAAGCCTYAGCCTTCCAGCTCTGTGGCAGGGARCGGGGGCCGGGCAGCTGGGATCCCTGACACAGGAGTGAAATCCGCTCAGCCTGCTGGAGGCTCCAGAGCCAACTCCCACGCGGGCTGCGCCTCTTACCCCCTGGGGCYTGGCGTGTCCCTTGCAGAGTGGGAGGGCATTGAAGAAGGCCATCTGCACCAATGGCACAGTTCCTGGGAGCCTGCCCGGGGCTGCGTCTGTGAACTCTCTTTGTGGGACGCAGGCTCAGGAGGCCTGATTAGCCATAGAGGAGGGGCTCCCCTTGGCCCTCTTCGCCTGTTCKCGAAGGGGAACCGCCCACCCCAACACCTGGGTGAAAGCCCAGGGCTGGGGTGGAAGAGCCCAGGTCCCTTCCCAYTTCTCTGACTAAAGATCCCCTGACCCTTGGGCAGGAGGTCCGCTCCCCGCCTCCAGGACCCCTGTCACTTGGAGTTGACCCTTGGGAGCCCAGCAGAGRAGAGGCAGGGTCTGGGCACATGGTGGACAGCGGGAGGGGTTAGACTGGGAGCCCCACAGGCTGCTGTTCTAGAGGGAGGACCCCACTCCTCATCCCCAGACGGTGAGGGGACCACCGCATGAGGTGGGGTGCCACACTCAATTTCTTCTGGTTTTGTTGGGTTTTTCCCAGCCTGAGTGTCACAGAGCCTCTCTACCAAGTAAGTTTGAGGCGCCACTTTTTTTTTTTCTTTTAAATTAAAAACCTGTGAGACACAGCTGGTCACTATGGTGGACGCCTGTAATCCCAGACTCGGGAGGCTGAGGCAGGAGGATTGCAAGTTTGAGACCAGCCTCAGCAACTTAGCAAGACCCTGTCTCAACCTAAAAATTCAAAAAAGCTAATAAGTAAATAAAATTTAGATTCCCCTGAAAAAGAAAGAAAGAAAGAAAAGAAACCTGTGAGAGTCCACTGGACCGTGTGACGACGCTTTGTGATATCCTTCTGGTGACTGTCTGTTGAGAGTGCTTCATCGTCGCCCACCTCCTGCCTTTTGGATTCCCGGTATGTCCACCCAGCCCCACGCAAAGAGGGTTTCCCTTCCACAGTGGTGACGCTGCAAGTTCCCTGCTGATGTGGCCCGGAGGTTTCCTTCCTGCTCCTTCCTAACGCACCCCAGGCAGAGGCCAGGATGTGCGTGGCTTGGCCGAGGTGCCCGGGCAGAGCCGCCAAGGGTGAGAGGCAGGCGCCAGCCCCTCCTGAGGAGGGGTCAGGCCTCAGACGAGGATGCCAGCTCGGTGGCCACCCMCACAGGCTCCTGCCAGGCAGGGGCCCAGAGTCCCTGTGCCCTGCTCCAGTGATGACCTAGCCCAGCACATGAGGGGGACACAGAGGGTCACCAGCCTCCTCCTGGGGAAGGTGTAGAGGAAGCCTCCAAGGCTGGCTCAGAAGTGGCCCTGCAGTGGCTGAGGCTGCTGTCACATGTGGCAGCCCTGCTGGGGACGAGCCCTGCACCTCCCCACCCACCATGCAGCTGTCGGGAGAGGACCTCAGCACTTCCTATCCTGGCACAGCCACATCACTCATGCCCATCTGCATTTATTCATTGACTTGGGCCTTCTTTCCAAACCTGGCACAGTGGTGCACACCTGTCATCCCAGCAGCTCGGGGAGGCTGAGGCAGGAGGATCGCAAGTTCAAGGCCAGCCTCAGCAACTTTGTGGAGCCCTGTCTCAAAAAGGTATGGGGATGTGGCTCAGGAAGAGTGCCCCTGGGTTCAGACCCCAGACAGGAAAAAAAAAAAATTGTATTCCAAGTCCCTTACGCCCTGGGGTTTGTTCCGAATGCTGGAGATGCAGGAGTAAGTCCCAAACCACCGCCTCTGGGGAGCTGAGCTCATCGTTTCCATCATATTTACTTTTGTGATTATGTTGGGTCCTGGCGAGTGATAGTAGTCATCCACTGAGAGTAATGATACCTTTTCCTTTTAAAATAAATTTAGGTTTGTAAAAACTGAGTTGACTTCAGGAAGACCATTAGGGAATGATAACACAGAAGGTTCTGGAACACCTSGACGGGCTCAGATGCCGGCAGGAGACACCAAGTCGGAGCACCCTGCCCAGGACGGGCCCTGCTGCTCCTCCCGCCCTGGCATGGAGCAGCTCTGCGGTTGGGCAGGGTCTGCTGCTCCCTCCCACATTGGTCTCCTCTAAAGACAGGAACATGAGGCACCCAACGAGGAGGAAGCCGTGGCCGGGAAGGGACCCTAGAGGACAATCCCATTGGCAGGTGGCAAAGGGTCTTTAAGGTGCAAAGGAGCCAGAGATTGCTCCCTTCCACCTTAGGTAGCCACTGACCCATGCTGGGCCCTCTGACACTCCACTGAAGACCTGCGACAGCTACAGTGACAGTCACGGTGGCATGAAGAGGACAGCCAAGGCTCCTGCCCTCTGGGATGACCTTGCAATGGGAGCAGAGACCAGACAAAMAATAAATAAATGAGATCATGCCAGAGAGCGGCATCCCAGGGAGAAGAGCCATGGCTGGAGAGGGGACATGGGACACCCTCGCCTTCTGCTGTAACTTGCAGGGTGGCGAAGGGCCAGCCCGGGAGGAGGCAGGCAGAAGAGGGCCCYGTGGTGGAACACAGGACACAGCCCGGGTGGCTGGGTGAGAGTGAGCCTGCTGCAGGAACCCTCGGGTGCTGCTGCGTGGTTCAGGGACAGGGGACAGTGGCTTGGGCCAGAGGGCAAAAGAAAATGGAGGCGGGATCCAGGATCAGCAGGAYTGTGGACAGCTTGGAGGGAGTCACGGTGAGAGAGGAGAGGGGAGGGGTGCGGTTCCCCGTGAAGGATGGGGCCTGACCCTCGAGCCCCACCTCCTGGCCGGGCCTTGTGGCTCTGCTGTGCTCCCCCAGCCCCCACTGGGACTTGCAGGATCTGGRAGGGGCTCCCTCAGCACGGAGCAGAGGGCCAAGGCCAAGGTGGCTCCCAGCTCCAGCCTGAGAAGGCTCCAGGCAGAGGCTTGGGATTAGAAGCACAGATGGCCGGGGGTGGACGCTGAGGAGAGGATCAGGGTGGATTATGGTCCAAACCGGATTAGGCTTCCTTGAAGATGACAGCTCCCAAAAAAGCCACCGCAGCTCCCAGAGTTGTCCCTGGACACCCAGAGAGAGTCACAYGGGCACACGCACACCTAGGGGCGTGCACAGAGGCCCTCTGGCTCAGTGATCTCATCCTGGGCCCCATGGTACCACTCCAGACCCAAGCCCATCTCCATCACCCATTGGAACCTGTTCACTGTGACGTGGCCTCCCAAGCGCCAGCCGAGTCCACAAAAGCCCTCCACGAGTGGTCCTGCCATGACCCAAGCGCCCAGGAGCCAGTCCCCAGGTCCTCCGGCCCAACCCTCCCCACACACACCCTTCGTCCCCTCTGCAGCCCACCGACCTTCACACCTGACCACTGGCCCCACAATGCCCATCTACTGCCTGTCCACCTTAACCTGGAACAGGGCCCTGCCCAGGCACCTGCCTGCGTGTCAGGCCCTGCATCTGTTTCTCAGCTCAGGGTGACAGTCCCTTCTCTCCTCAGTGCCGCCCCATCTGTGCTCCAGGGAGGAGCAGGCTCTCTGTCTACAGGGCGTGTCCGGCAGGGCCATTCCCAAGGGCCTGGTCTCTGCCCTCTCCTCAYACCCATACTGACACACGTACCAGACACACACACACCAGGCCACACCCACCACACGTGTTCACACCCACCAGGCAACGGGCGGGCCTCCAGCATCTGGGTCCCTCTATGGAGGGACTGTYACCCTGGGAGAGCTCACAGCCACACACAACCGCCCACCTCAGTCTTTGATTTGGCAAATACAGTGGTGAGCCCCCAGCCCAGTGCTGGCCCTGTCCCCTGCTCCAGGAACGGGTCACCATGAGCTGGCTTTGTCACCATGAGCATGGACGTACCCTGCTGCCCTTACTGGCTCTGGAAGACAGCCCTGCCCAAGGACACTGCCAGGAACACCAGGGGTGGCTGTGCCTACTGCCCCCCACTCCTTGCTGACTAGAGGGGCATCAGACCCKATTTCCAGCCTGACTGGTCCACAGAGGGGCCTAAACAAGGGGTCTCTGCCTCAGTTTCCCCATGGGTTAGTCTGAAACAGAGAGGTCCCTGGAAAGGAGGCACCCAGTGCCCAGCAAGGGCCTCCCGGGYTAGGAGTGGGCTCAGTGGGAGCCGCAGGGTCAGCCCATGACAACAGCCACAGCCAAAGCCTCAGCCATCATGAGGCTCCTCCTGGCCTGGGTGCTGAGGCGAGGGAGGGACACAGGACATGGGGGGCTGGGCGCAGTGCCACCCCTATCCAGGCCCCACAGGGGACCCCAGGGAAGGGGAGGTGGTGCCCCAGGCAGCCTTCTGGGCTCCAACTGGGAAGGCCTATGGCTGGGGCCACCCAGGCCTCCTCCCCTCATCTGCCCACTCTTCTCCTCCCCACCGCCTCTCCCCTCCTCCTGGCCCCTCTCCCTCATGAAGCCCCCAGTCACCACGCACCCCAACTTAGGCTCCTTGGCTCTTGCACTCCCCACACCATTGGTGGCCTCTGCTGTGGAACTTCCCGGGTGCCCTGGTCCAGTCCTGCTGCCTTCCCCGCCCACCGGCAGTCCTCCAGGGGCCTGCAGAGGAGCCCTGCACTGCTCCCTGACACTAGGTCTGCAGAGGGGCCTGCTTTCCCCGGGCAGGCCCTCCCTCAGCAGAGGCGCCTGTCCATCGGGGACAGGGCTGAGAGCAAGCTGCCCAAGGAGGGGCCAAGGTCAAAATGCAGAGGAGCTTCCAGCCCTCCCTAGGGAAGGTGCCCAGAACTGGAGGAGTCTTCCCCCTCTGGGGAAGAAGCCCCTCCCTGAGGCAGAGGGATGGCCAACATGACCTCAACAGTCCCTTCCAGCAGGGGGTGCTTACCAGGGAGCACAGGAGTCGGAGAAACTTCTCCAGGCAGCTCCCTGAACCCTTCTTCCCCCACCAGGCCTCCATGCCCAGGCCTCAGGCCCAACCTAGAATGTCCAGGTGCTAGTGGGTCCACCTGGGGGACTGCCCCTGTCCCGCACTCCCCGGGCCCTAGAGGCCAGGCCAACCCTCACAAGAAGCCCCACGCCTGGCTGCAGCAGCCCACGCACGGCCCCCGGTGTCCCTCGCTCTGTTCCGGCAGCACCAGCGTGTGGAGGTCGGCTTGCTCTTGCCAAAATGAGAACCACCTGTCCCTGTCCCTGTCCCTAAGCTCTCACAGCTGAGCACCTGCCAGGAGCCGGCGTACTCAGCCCCTCCCCAGGTCCTCCTCGCTCTGAGAGAGGAGCTACCCATCCYGTTSGCAGATGAGGAAACAGACTYAGAGACTGGCCCCAAGGTGGGYGGCGCAGAGCCCACCCTTCCTGGCGAGGTCCCTGTCCTCTTGGCAGGGAAGTCCTTTCTCTGGCAGCCATAGCTCCTTCAAGGTGAGAGGGGCCAGACACCCTGGCCCTGCATCCAGCACCTACAGGGGCATGGTCAACATGACCCCATGGGTCATGGCAGGCAGCAGCCCCACTGGGCACCTGGCAGCCCCCGACGTTGGCTGGCATTCAGACCCCACCCCACCCAACAGTGGCAGAGCAGAGGTGTGTGTCATTCCGGACCCCAGGTGACTAGAAATTAGGTGACGCAGACCCCACCTTCCAGAAGCCAAGCCAGACTCGGTCCTTCCCCCGCCCCCACAGCAGCCCCGTCTGTCCAATCTGCCCATCAGGCTGCCCCTCTCAAGGCTCAGACACCTTGCAGTCCCCTCCCCTCGCACTCCCCTCCCCTCGCTGTCCCCTCCCCTCTCTGTCCCCTCCCGGGCCC